ACAGTTCCACAGTTGGTGATTTTTAAACCCAGCCCAAAAATTGATCCAGACAAATCTTCGGGTCAGAAGTTCAACCGCTGAATCATCGTGTCAACTGCTAAAACCCATAATTAATTTTAAAATTGTTAAAATTATAATTATAATATTATTGCCATATAAATATACAAAAACAGTAACAAAATTAAATGTTTTTATTCGAAGTGTTAATAATATTCAATTCAGTCAATATTTTACTAGTTTAATTTTTCATTTTAAAAAAAAATAAAAATAAAATAAAATACACACACACACACACACACACACAACTTTCTAAACAACGAATAATCTTCAAAAAAAAAATGTACATCAAATCCACTAAAAAGCATTCAACTTATATATCATTTTCAACTGAAAACGTGAAATTCACAAAATTATCAAGCAAAGATTTTTTCTGCAGTAACAATGAACACCAGACAATAAAGAAAACGCTCTGCAACACAACTGTTTTACAAACCGAAAATAAATCCTCCTTTAGGTATCCGAAATACACAGTGACCCGTCCATCTACACAACAGGTGACACAAGTAGAAACCTTACAGAAATCAAATAATAACACCAACGAATACAACGATTTGCACAGCAACGAATAATAACACCAACGATTTGCAAAGCCATAACTCAATAAAATACACCAACTTCACAAAATTCGGCTGTGAAAAAAAAAAAAAAAACTGATAAAAGAAAATACAGCATTATTCATCTGCGCCTATGCCTGGAGAAACTGGGTGAACCAACTGAGTGAGTGCCTCTGTAGGCTCGACTTGGAGAATCCACTCGGAAAGAAGCGTAAGCTGCTTTGGCCGACTCTGGAACTGAGTCGAGCGGCAATGCCTCCACAAAGCATGCCGTGTTGATCCTCGTCCTCTCGAGCTCCGCCTGAAGTAGCTCTGAACTGTATTGCTGGGCAAGAGCCTACATAAACCGAAACCCACATAAGAGCCAATACATTCAACTGTTTATGGATGATTATACATACAAAAGCAATCATATTTTGATCATTTATTTTTAAAGAAAAGGAAGGTAAGAGCAGAGTAAATTTGAGATCTTGGGGGAGAAGAGGAGCAAGCAGCTAGCTTTAGGAATACAAGTAACTCTTGATAGTTGTTCATTATTTTATTAATTGCACTCTGTGGGACTCGTTTAATATGCAAATCTCAAGTGCATAGATCATTGGGTTTTCAACATAATGGGTATTCTTTCTTTTGAATCACATCAAGGCTCAATGGTAGTGTGTGTCTGTGTAATTTCTTTTGTTGAAGAAAATATGAACAGCTAAGAGCAAATTAAGAATAATTTAAAAAAAAAAAAAAAGGAAGAGCAATATAAGGAAAAGGCTGTAGATAAAATAGAGGGGTAAGGGTTAATTTACATACAATGAGGTCATCGGGAGATGCAGATGACAGCCTGTCCTCGAGCACGTCATCACTTCCTCGTGTAGGCCGCCGCTGATGACTTGGTGTCTCTACGGTCTCCGTCACAGTTTCAATGGCCTTCTCCAATAGGACCCCTTGCAGTGACTTGAGAGAGTCCCTCGCATCATGAGTGAAGTAAGGATTCAATATGGTCTCAAAATATTCGAGCTGCACAACAATTGAGGGGAACAGAATATTAGCTAACTATAAAACCAACAATCATTAATATAATAGATGAATATATTTTCAGGAGGGCTTTTTTTCAGGAAAACGTTTTGATACTTTCGGCTTTCCATTATCAACCACATTCATTTTGTTGTAAGGATTTTTTCAAACCAGTTCCAATCTCGTCGGTCATTTACTCATATTAGACATCAGATTTTCGGCTCTGAACAGAATCCAAATTGGGAATGTGGTGGATAATTCATATTACCTCAAGCATTAGCTGAGAGTAGCCATTGGCATCCAATGCCCTGAAATCTTTGTCTATGTTTTCGTTAAAGAGGCCGAGGAATATGTCAATCAAGCCTTCAACAAGAATACCAAGGATTTTGTCAAGCAGAGGCTTACAGCCAGCAAAAACCTGCATTATATTATATCTGGTTCTGAGGAAGTGCACAATCACAAACTATGTAGAAACTTGGAGACTTGGTCTAACTGATGCGTCAGAATTTGAATACAATTATTAAATAAATAAAACAATAATAAAATAAATAGGTGGGCAGAACTTGGATAAGTACCTCTGCATGTGCAGCTACCAAAGTATGAAGTAAGTCAACAGCTGCATCTCTAACGCCCTGCAAGGTTTTGATGAATCGTAGTCAGAAATATTTACTGAACAGGCTTAAGCTGCTGTAATAACTAATTAATGATGATAACCGGTCCTCACTTTAACAGCAGGTGTTGCTCCCCATTGGACTCCGGCATCCAACAAGTAACTTACGGCAGCTGACCTAATCAAATTTGCCTGGGGAAATGAATGCAGAAATAATCAGATGAACGCAAGTACAAAGAAGCTGAAGAATTCTAACCCAAATCCGAAATTCCATTTTACTCCACTAAAAATTATGAAAAGAAATTATTTACCACACCAAAGATATATCAAAGGAAAACTTTGTTCACGTAAGTATCTGATAAAGATTGCATGAAATAAGGCTTAAATCATGGAAAGTATATTGAAGAATAAAATAATAATTAACATCCAAGGAAAGAAGAATAAATCTACAGATTGTGGAGTGATGGGGATCTGGATTGATCGTCTTTGAAGATCAATGTTATCTTGCTTTTTTATTATTACTACCTTTTATGTAAGTTAAATATAAATATAGGATCTCTAGTAGAGAAGGGTAGACAATACGAATCATATTGACAAATATAGGAACTTAAATTTCGCCCATTTAACATACTGCTTTTATTCAGTACAAAAACACAAGGGGCTCCATGCACTGTTTCTACGTGTCAAAATCCTTCACAAATGCTACAGCAGGTTTACTAAGAAACCGGATAATCTGCTCAGATAATTCCATTGATGAAATTTTAAACAACAAAATGAATAAAAAAGTGGGGTAAGAGTGCTCAAGTAACACAAATAAAATATTAGGTACACACCAATGTGCACTATTTCAAATAAAATAGTGAACCAGACACAAATTTTTACATACCTTGGCAACAGTGTATCGTGAAATAACTTTCTCTTCAACAACAGAGAAAGACATGACCAGCTCTTGAATGTCAACATCATCCTCAACTTTTCCGCTGATGATAAAATACAATATGTTACATTATCACGAGATAGGGTGAAATATGCTAAATCATAAACTCATCCTTAAACGACAAAATATTTAATCATAATTATCAACATTCCCGCATCAGCTTCAGAAAGGTGAAAAAAATGCTTCCTGGCTAATGGCTTTCAATTCATCTAAAACCTTGACTTTCCCCTTGAAGTTTTGGAAGAGTGAATGTACAAAGAAATAGAGGAGAAAAAGAAGATGTTGCTTGAACAGACCATGAGACCACCAGTCTTTTATAGTCAATATTATTGACAAACCAAACTAACAGGCTAAAGTTGCAGGGCAAAAGAGTTTCAGTTGTCTAGCTCAGGATTCTCGTCAGTTTTACAGCCACATATCAATAATTGTATTTTAATAAATATTAAACACATGGTTGCATCATCTGTACCTTGACAGCCACACATATTTGTACTTTCCATACAGCTCGTACGCAAGTTCATCTTTACAATATCCGATATTACTCAGAACCATTAGCAGCTGTTGATGGTGATCAACAATACTTCCAGGAAGAGGGTCTACTGATTTCTCCATTGGCTCATGACCATATCCATTTTGGAAATGTGAACTTCCGATGTTTGATCTATTCTGACTCAGCTCAGAGCCAACATGCTCCAAATGACCTGTTCATCGTGCCCCCAAAAGCACAACACTAGTTAGATCACCATTCCTTCCCTTAATACTCAGATAAATATGAACAATCACTTAAGCTTATGCAACAAAAGTAGCAAGGCAATCTACATCCCCCATACCAGCAAAATCCAGATAGCAATTAAAAAACGAAATCCTAACTGATTCTTGGATTTCTTGAAGCTGTGCAGACACATCCTCCGATTTTGCTGATTCACTTTGCAAACAACGAAGCATCCTGGAAAACGATCAAACAATCAACACATAACAAGATGTATAAATCAGCTTCTCAATTAAGAGCAGATAATATATTTCTTGACTAAAATACTCCTGTATTTTTTTTTTAATAACTGTAGGTTATTATTTCTTATACTGCTGAGCCTCAGGATTATGATGCAGTCCATTACAAATACAGCACAACTTTTACAGGTCTTCTATTCAATTTGGAAAAAATTGGAAAATATATGGAAGGTAAATTGAAGTTACAAAACTATAATTTGGAATCTCACGTGTTAATTTGATCCATTGCTGAGATCATTATTGCACGAAATGCCAGAGGCAATGATGAGATAGAATATGGTGACTTATTTCTTTCTAAAACGGACACAGGGACCCAAGTTTCATCTTTTGATGTCTCTTCTATTGAAGTCCGCATCCATGAGCAAAGCCTGCCAATATAGATTTTTGAGACCTCCAATTCAAGTGTCCTCAGAGCAGAGACTGCAACCACAAAAGGCCACACTCAGTCATATATCAAGGATACTACTACCCACAGAAGCAGAAGTCCAGCATTTTTCTAGCATGCGTGAACATGGAATGTGTGGTTTTAAGATAAATTTTACCAGCAACTGGAGGCGCTGATTCTTTCACTTCAAAAGCTTGACTTGCTCTGGAGATTTCCCTTATAGCATCATTCATGTATGGACTAAGGATATTAGATTCTTCAAGATCACGGAATGTGCTGAGGACCTGTATAAGAATTTATACATGCCAAGAAATTAGTAGGCTACTAATAGTAGCAATGAAAACTTCCCTATGATGAAAAACTGAAATATAGATGTACTTCATTTAAATACAAGATATTGAGAAAGCCATCCATAGAAATCAAAAGGTTCAAACAATTGTTATGGATGATTCTAAAACTTAACAGTCCCCAACTTCTTACGCAGAAAGCAAAAGGTTCAACAACCGTTATGAATAATTCTAAAGCTTAAAGAGTTCCCATCTTCTTAATCGTTGAACAGAAAAACCTTTTAATCCTTAAAAAAGTTCTCGCATCAACATATTCAAGAAATGGCATCTACCTTGGACTCATACGCTGATAGAGTATTGCATATCATGCCAGAAACTTCATCAAGATCTCCCACTCTATCATCCACTCTGTTCAAGGAACTATTTGTGGTTGGCTCAGCAGACACTTGAGAGGACTGAAAGACAAGAGGTTAATATAACAAGAAGAGACGAACAAGAACCTTATATGGATTCTAACTGGAACAAATGAAATGATGCCCTATATTAATAACATGAAGAATTATAAAATAATACTTGAATAACAAAGGAAATATCAAAGTCCTCATAATTGGAGGGTGAGATTAAAGATGTTGGTAGCTGTTAGAGACTACCTAATGATGCTATTTTTCGCGAGGGAATAGACAAAAAAGTGTATAGAGTTGGAAGCATAAATAAATATTTGTAATTGTTCTGTTGGTTATCAGAGGGAACAAAAGATATGGATACATGCCAATTCATGCTTGTTACCAAGTTGAAAGCCCTCCCAGCAATAATGACAAAACAATAGAGCATCATGAGCTTGAGAATGTACCTTGGCAAATTTCCCACTGGAAACTGAAAGCGCTACTTTCCAAAAGATTGGTACGTGATGGACAAGTACACCAGTTAACTGTGCAATGTATCTACCCCGAAGAGCATCGAGTTCTTCACTAGACGCTTCCGCCGGGAATAAATGCCCAGGTAGATGGGAGCTTATGTCACTGAGAGGGTAATCCACAACTGACTGACAATAATACATGAAGAAAGATGTAAATTTGACCTAGATCACAACCAACTTGAAACAAATTAAGTAATTAGCTTATTATCTTGCACTTACAGACTGGTTTATATCTAGCTGAATTTGCCTCCATTTTGCATCAGACAACGCTTTTTCACGATGCACATTCTTCAAATTCTCAATCCGTGCTTCATGGTCTAAAGTGCATTTCTCAAGCAAACTTCTCACTTTGCGGTTCTGTCACAGAGTCAAACACCAAAATTCAGAAAACTAATTGTCTCGACATATAAAATACTTATGTTGAACAGTCAAGTGGATGGTGGTTAGAAACACAGGAATGCTACAAGAATCTCATTACAATAATATTCAATAGTATGGATATAACCCAAATTGAGATTTGATGAGAAAGGAATATATAGGTTCTGGAAAAAAGAGTGTGTACAAGGAAGGCTGAATACTTCAAGAACTATTAATTACAGAAGCTTTTAATGATAACGACTACGTTGAATAGATCATAATACTGTAGAAGATCATGGAAAAAGGACAGAAATTTTGCACCTGTATATTCAGGTAATGCTTTATGGGATCAGACTCCGGTTCAAGCTCCAGCAGAAGCCGCACATTATTTTCAAGCTTCAAGAAACATCAAATAAGCATTAAACTACCAGTCGATGTTACACTTAAACTACAACAAAGGCCCTTGCTTAACCAAAAAACTGAGATACACAAAGTGCTTTCTTTCAACAATTTAAGAAGCTTAATGATCAATGTTAATTTGCTTGTGTATCTGCTTTATGTTCTGATTTAGCCATTCATGAGTACACATTGACAAATCTGTACATGAATTTAAAGGAAGGAGACTGACGCATAAACTCTTGCAAAGATAAATGGTAATACCAATGTAGAGAAAAACTTGCTTTTCAGAAGTAAGAAAAGAGTCAACCTTTTCGGTTGACATTTCAGCTGCACTCGCCAAAAGAGTTAAACAACTTCCGGAAAACTAAACCTTTTCTGGGAGCCATTTCTCCCACCCATTTCATAATCCCAGCTGCCTATAATCCTAATACTGAAATTTTGGCCAGTACCCAATAATTTTGACCAGTACACGACCTCTAGGCGAAGTATTAAAACAAACAGACCAACCTCGCATAGTCAAGTCATTCTAAAACATGCCAGTCCATTGATTTGCTTTCCAGACAAGTATATCTAGGAAACTATATAATAGATCTTACATTGGTTAGATCAATATTTGGATCTTCCATGGCCTTGTAAAGCATGCTTTTGAACTCTTGCATTACTTTTTCAACTTCCTCAAGGACACGTTTTAGAATTCCTACCTGCAAAATCAAAAGGCCCAAAATATTCAACTTCACATCCTCTGTTTTCACTGAAGACAGTAATTTAAATTCTGATTGTCACTTCATTCATGAGTCCTGTTCCAGGAAAAGCTGCTACATCATTTACAGGACATACAGCGAGATCGGAAACATTTAGAACAAGTAGCATATATTATGGTATGAAATGTTATTTAAACACCACACAGAAGTAATATTTAAGTATTCATACACATCTCAAGAATGCTATCAGGTTCCCACCTTAGAACTGCAATGTGCTGAATTACATGTGAATTGGTTTTAATTGGACAAAATTAACATACTAGATTATATGATATGTTGCAGAAGAAGTAAACATAAATTGCAAATATGCTGTAAGAATACTCAAAAAAGTGACAATAAAAAAACTCGAGATATAACAAAGGATGATGCATAATATGAAACACATGAGACGTACATAAGAAGGAAGAACAATTGACTTTGCTTTCCGGTACTCTCTTACAGCCAAATCATATTCACCCTTGCTAATGTTAGCACGGATTGCACTGGGCAAGTTAAACAGTGTTCGAAACCTTTGAAGCATTCCTTGGACAGACCTAATCTTCTCTGCTTGGGCCTTGAAAAGTATAAATGGTTCAATTAGAATTATTTTAAGGATGACATATAATATCCCTTAAAAGAGCCACTCAGGATTTGGGCCCTAGCTACCTGTCTCTCAAATAGGGGACCAAAAGCACGATTAGCATGAGAACTAACTCCTTGGATGCAGTTAAACAAGTGCTTAGTTCCAGCACCTTCAGGGTCATCCTCAATTCGTTTCAACTTTGACTCAATATCTGAAATAACCAAAGCACTTTTAAAATTGAACATGCTCATAGAAAAGTTCCAAACCTAGGTTCTAATGTCTCCAACTGACCATCGATAGTGGTCTTGCAAGAGACAAAGCAATCAAAGTTTTCTTTCACCAACTGCTTTTTCTGTTGGGTGCGTCCTTTGAGATCAGTCTTCAGTGACAGAGCACCAGATTCCAATTCTTCAGCACTAGTATCCATGTGGACTCGCGATAAAAATAGTTTAGCATCGAATTTCTCCAGGTAATAGTTCAATTTTTCTGCAAACCATGTACACAGAGTTTCATTTTTACACAGCTTAAACTATCTCAGTGACTTAGACCAAGGCACCAAGCATCAGTAATTAAAGGCTGCAATTTACCGCAAAGTAACCAAGGAACAGAAAAGGTTTTATACTCGAAAAAAAAAAAAAAAAAAAGTATCTTCAGTTTCGGATAAAATACCGAACTTCACGAACCAAGTAACTAACATATGTGGTGTTAACTGTTAAGCTGAAGGATACTTTAAATTTCTGAAAAGGTATTAAAATGTGATGCCAGCTGCGAGGGGTTAATATGATCAGGCCCCTAAAAACAAATAGCCAGCAGTCATATCTTGACAGCCAGTGCAATTTGCAGAATGAGAGAGACCAACTGTGAGAAGGCAACTGACTTACTAAAACTAGAAACACCAGTTACTAAATAAGACCTATCGAACAAGAAGATTTTTGAGGCATTAACAACACCAGTATAACACAAAGAGTTAACAATAGGTAAGCTAATTGCCACTAGACTCTGAACTCCATCATCATTCTTTTAGGAAATTCTGTATAAAATATAAAGAAAAACAATTATTGTGCTAAGGGGTCGAATAAACACACAAATCTTGAAGTCCTTAATCATAAAGAACATCAAGAAATTGCAAGACTGTCTTACAGAAAAAATAAATAAAAAAAAAAATGTTATACTAAAGAAAGAAATCACGTGCCTCCATAGGCTCCATTACCACTTTTCAACAGGGTAAAAAGAATTAGCCTTTACCTTCTCTAACCTCACATTTCTACGGTTTAATTCCTAACCCAGAATTCATAAGAAATCAGCTCACCTAGAAAACCTAAAAGAAGCATCATAAACTAAACTGCTCATTTTCATAATTCACAATCCCTATTGAATGAGATTCACAGAACGAATATTATAAATGCAATCAGGATGCAATGGATGCCTTGCAGAGACAAAGTAACTACCCTCAATCCATGCGTAGCTGCTCAAATACCCGAACTCTATCATATAAGCCAATAATTTGAACTTACCATCATTAGAAAAGGTGTTACTGCTTAACAAGAATGGTCAGAATCATGAAACTTAAAGTAACATCTGGTTTCTAAATAGAACACCACACATATACACCAGATAAGCCGATACTATAGCAAACCTCTCTTCACAAACCATCAGTCGCATAAATGAGTGTTTCATAATATAATGTCTCCTGATCTGGTGAAGATTAACCATTAGTAGCATCTCAATAAGATGGATATCCAATATTGATGTGTTCTTTAACTTAAGATACTCATTAGACACTTCGAAGGATACACACATCCACGTACACACAAAATGATAACAATAATAATAAGAATAATAATAATAATAGAAAATGAAAAATAAATAAAGCAAATACCCCGAGCATTTGGATCAAGAGGTTCCAAATCGACAGAGGGTGATGGAGCATTTGCTATATTATCGCTGATCAACCTAAACGTTTTGTGGTTAATTAGCCTGTCCATAAGAGATATCAGATGAGCACTAAATCAGTAAAATGGCAGCAGGGTGGAAAAACGAACCAAACAAGAAATACTTACCCAAGTCCAAGAGGATCAACCCATTCCATGCCGCGAGGAAGTGACTGTAAATGGGTCAGTGCTTTTGGTTTCCGCTCAAACTTTTGAGCTACAGGAACTGCACGTGTTTCCCTCATCTCGCGGACCCTCCGGGCCAGCTAACCCATGAATTTTACAGAAACTAACGTAATTACCACCAAATTCAATAATTACTCGTAAAGGCCCAAAGAGAGAATGGAAAGATAAACGACGTCATACAATTGGCAGGTTTTCTGCTCTTTTTTAGTAGCAAATGAGGTGTGCATAGAATAATCTGAGCAATCTAGTCAAATACTAAAAATGCACAAAACACCAATTGAATTAATCTATCCAAGCGTCTATGTCTGTGTAAATTAGATTTCAAATACTCGAATCAAGAAGTTAGCAATCCAACGCTAAACACTCTTGAATCAGAAAGTAAACCATATAAAAAAGACAACATCTTAAACAAAAGTTATATGACTAACATCATACAATGCTTATCTCAGGGCTCCCAGAAGTCTATAAGTAACTTTTCAATTGGAATAGTATTAGGAGAATTAAGCAAGTAAAATGTGGCTTATTTAGAACATGCAATCAACCAACACAAGTGCATGATCTTCAACTCAAACTAAAGCCCATCAAGGAAAAATCAGCATCCATTAATCTGTACAGATACCAGAATCTCACAACACCATAGTTGAGCAAAGCGCCACTTAAACGAACACCTAAATTTACCAATCCACTCCAATTAATGATCGAGCACGCAAGTGCTCCACACATACACATATGACAGACATTCACAAGAACCATAAGATAAACCATCATACCTCAGCTTCATCTACGTGCTTCCAGCAGTTAGGCTCTTCCCCGTCCCATTTGTCATCCTCCCTCCCACTCCCGACACGGTTCTTCCGAACCATGCCGCCTCGATCATCCTCGTCCCCGGACGAAATGCTCAGCAGCTCCACCTCTGAATCCTCGTCCTCGTCCAGCGATGGCTTTCTCTGCTTGTTGACCCCCTTCTTCTGCTGCGAAAACCCCGCCGGTCCGGTGTTCCTCGCCGCCGCGCGGCTCGACGGCGGCTGAACGTAGTTTCGGACAGGCTTCTGCGCGGCCTGCGAGGGTTTTCGGTAGTTGAGATCGCGCTGAGACTGCTCCTTCAGCGCCATCTGCAGCAGCTCGTCCTCGTCCAGATCGTCGCCGTCGCTCGACATTTCTTCGAATTTGGGATTCTCGGTAGGGATTTGCGGGTTCAGGCAGCTGTGGCTATGTGCTGAAATATGTGAAGCTAACGAAAATGGATCTGTGTAGTGTTGGAAGATGATTGATCAAATAGAGAGTTGGAGACGATGCACAGGACCGTGCGAAGAAGGCAATGGATGGGAATTTGGAAATGTCT